CGTATCATTTCCAGTTTTAACACTGGATGAAATACGAAGCTTAACTCTAGGTGAGTGATTCTAGAATTTTAATATCTTAGATGAGATTATGCGCATTAACAGACCGATTAACAGTCTCACTTACGACCCCATAAATATACCCGTTTCTGCACATCAGTTTAGGTCTAAAAACTGGTAATACGATCATGTGTTGCATAAAAAATACCACATTTCAGAATCGTTTCAAATAAAACAAGCCCGCAGTTACGCAGAAGAACATTGCTCAACTACAGATCTAACACAACATGGAAATTATATAATACAAATATGTGCAGCGGCAGACTTAATCAGGATTAAGCTCCGCTCGAGGCATATAACTGCTCAATCCTACTGGTCTTACATACAATTTTCACAGCTTTCTATCGAAGGAAGTTGTTGTGATTATAAAACCGGAAATAGAACTGTCGGTATGTGCTCGCATAGGGCTTCAGGAATCTGGTTCTTAGCATATCAACGGTATCAAACAGAAACACGGCAAAAACCATCTGGAACATTCTTAGCAATTTTTGATGATAGCACCCAAGTGTCAGACTTTTACGACAGCACAGACGAAGAAGATAATGTTACATATTCTTTAACTTGATTTCTTCTTTTCTTAAAACTGTTGTGCTATGTGACCTACAATAAACTTCAAAAATAACTTACGCATGCGTGAAAGACGTATTCTTTTAAAGCCAACAATTACTCTTCTATTTATACAGTCTTGATATCTATATTCTACTAAAATCTTCGTGTTCTTTATTTTTCTCGTCGATGTCCAGACACTACTATATCTATCTACAACACGACGGACACATTAATAGAACAAAAAATAATAATGAAATATCTCTCTCCCTCCACGTGCTAACTGCCATACTACAACAAAAAAGTTCGCTACAGACGCACAGTATTTCGACAATTGTGCTACATGGGCGCATTTTCCAAAGACTTATTTCTAGCTTATTTTGAAGCCTAGAAAATTCTCCATCTTTCTGTATATAAAACGTTCCGGGTCTGAGGAGATGAGTTCAAGAAATATTCCTTTACAGCACTAAGATAGGTGAACTTGATGATATTTGTCTAGTATATCGACAATTGTCCTGTATGGGCATATTTTTGAAAACCTCGTTTATAGCTTATTTTGAAGCCCAGAAAATTCTCTATTTTACTATGTATGCACTTTGCTCAAGGACTTTGAAATCGGACGAGAAATTTGCGGAAAAACGTAAATGGCTTTTGTTGAACTGGTGGCGAAAAATGAAATGTAATTTTTTTTTCAAAGACACCAGAAGGATTTTTTGAAAATGGGAAGTGTTGGGAAGTGAAAAGGGAAGCATTTCCGATCATTTCCACTCAAAATCATATTGGGCGATTTTCTTGCAGAAACCGTTTCCCGTCCTTTATCAGTGCCTCAGCATTATGCTGCTGGATACTGTTTGGTTGCGCGTATGGTCTGGTTTTCCTGGATGTGCCGACCATGCGTTCCTGCTCATTGCTATGCTGCTGTTCGATTGCAATGTTTGCGTCACAGCGTGCTGAGGGGCAGATTGCCTATCTAAAAAGACATCGAATCTATTACTCGTACGTATATACTCGCATTGTTGGTGCCGTGTTAAGGGCAATTGAGGCCGTCGTAATTCCAAGTCCATCAGGGGTAGGATCACTGGCATCAGTCGTCCGATATTGCGTCGTCGTGGTGGGATAATTGGTGGTGGTATATAACTCGGAATATTTGTGTATGAATTGAAATTGGATGTAGTGCCAATCTGAAATCGTTGTTTCTTCTCTCGAGGCTTTGATGAGACTGATTCGACTGAAAAGAAAGGTGCAGGATTATTGTCTGCGGAAGGATACTTACTTGATGCCGATGATTTTCGGCTCTTTCCTGGTATCATCCAGAGTGAGGGCTTTTGAGCCGCTATCGTATTTTTATATGACTGTTGTGGTGGTGCTGCGGTTGGTGTGACTGGATTCGTTGTGTTTAAATGCAGTTGTTGTGTTGATGCGAGAATTGCCCATGACGACATTGTTGTTGTCGTTGTCATTGAATGTGCGCCATTGGTAGTCGTACGTGGCGGCAGAGCCGTTGTTGGTGCTAATGTGATGGTAGATTGAATGCCTGGACACGGCGGCGATGCAATTGTGACGGTAGTTGGTTTTAGCTGGGTTGGTAATCTTGGAGCGATAGGTGATGATGCGACAAATGGGACGAAGTATCTATGCATTGGTGGTTGTGAGGATGGATGTGGTGTGCCTGTGCGGGGTCGCTTTGCAACGGGGAATATCGGGATTTCCTCTAGTTTACCCATTGTCTGCCGAATACGACGCAAGATTTCTGGTCGACGAGATCTTAGTTGCTTGTACTGGGCTTGATGCTTTTTTGTTGGTGTTGGGGGTGACACGGCGTTTGGTGCTGTTGCCTAGCCAATACTCAACTGCGGTGCTACTGCTGTAACAAAGGTCGATGCTGTTGTCTGGATATTTCTGGGTGGAGTTTGCGGATCTGGAATGTCTGTTGTATTGATGGATGCGTTTACTACGCCTGTAATTTCTAGATCGGATGTTGATGTTGACTGGTTGATCATTGATGGTGTTGACTGCTGTTGCGGTTGTTCCGCTGATCGCTGTTCTGGTTGTTGCGCGATCGATAACCTATTGTGGTCCGGAGCTATTAATTGGTCCATTTAAAAGCTTCTTCGATTTATTGAACGTTAAAAACGAAAATTTATTGAAAGGGAGAGTGAAATGTCAGGCGGAGATGTAGGCGAATTTTTGAGGAGAGTGAAATCAAAACAATAGTTTTTAGAAAATAGAAAGTGAATATTAGGCAGAGATGAATTTTCTATAGGTTTACGACCTACCTAGCGAGTACCGGGTATCGTCCTGGGAATAGATCTTGGTTATTCAATGCATTCCTGTCTTCTTCCATGTCTTCATTGACATTCGTCATTGGCACGAACGATATCGCATGGAATATCGCTAACACCGTCATAGAGTGGGTAAGTGAACTAGTTTCTTGTTTGCGCCGCTTTTACCCGACGCTAAATAACATCGCGTTTACCAAGATCATGTTCAGAACAAAAAACACTCGTTTTCATAATTTTTTTCAAAAACTATTAGATACAACCACTAATATATGTACAAGTATGGCTATATGTTATCATCATTTCTTCATGAATACAATTCTCCGTTCTGTTTTCTGCAACTAACCGTGAAAAGCAACACGATCACTGGAAAGTTTCATCTTAAATTCATAATAAAAAAGCCTTCGATTATTAAAGTTCGAGCCTACCCAAGCCTTAAACTTTCAAAATTTGAGCCTACCCAAGCCTACCCAACTTCAATCTAGGGTAGGCTTGTGCCTACCCAGGCCTAATGGCTCCGCCGCCCATGAACT